TTGTACACCGCTCACTTGTACTCCGCTCAGATGTACACCGCTCACTTGTACACCGCTCACTTGTACACCGCTCACTTGTACACCGTGTTTATAACATGAAATTTAAGGCAAACTGTGATTCTAGATGAGTCGGGATATTTATATATATTTAACCCGGGTTAACTGTTCTGTAAAGCAGATAATTTTCCATCATATGTATACGGTGTACAAGTGAGCGGTGTACATCTGAGCGGAGTACAAGTGAGCGGTGTACAACTTTTGTGTGTAGAAATGAACGGTGTACAACTTTTGTGTGTAAAAATGAACGGTGTACATTTTTACGTGTCTAATTGCACCGTGTCGAAAATTTATTTTCTATGTGTCCAAAAATCACTGCGTCTAAAATTTCTGTGTCTAAATGAACCGTGTACACCAAAATGTGTCCATTCGAACCGTGTCTATTTGCAGCGTGTCCAATTGTACTGTGTCCAAATGCACCGCTCCCGCGGGGAGGAGGGGGAGTACGTGACCTTGACGTCACGCAAGGTGCTGACCTGTCACTACGTGACATGTAACAGATATCTAGGTGCTCACCTGTCATTCGTTTCTTTTTAGCGCGAACACCTGGACGCGTATTCTTATTTTCCTTGTTATGAGTCACGGGGTCAAGCGCCGAAACCTGGCTGCTGGCAACGACTTTCTTATCAAGGTGAACGATGTTGAGGAGTTCCGCGTTTATTATTCCGCAGCGATCCGCGGAGGCGCGGGGAGGAAGATATTCCGCGGTGCGGGGAGGAGAGGACCGCAGCACTACGCGATCCGCGGGGGCGCGGGGAGGGGAGGACCGCGACGCTACGCGATCTCTCAACGCGGGGAAGGGGAGGTTCGCGGCGCGAGGCGATCCGCGACGCGTGCATGTAATAGATATCACCGGGATGCCTTTAATTAGCGCGAACACCTGGACGCGTATTCTTATTTTCCTTGTTATGAGTCACGGGGTCAAGCGCCGAAACCTGGCTGCTGACAAAGTCTTCTTATCTAGGCACGTGATGCCAGGAAGTTCCACGTTTAAACTCGCGTCTACTGCATCTGCATGTAATAGATATCACCGGAGATGCCTTTGATTAGCACCGATACTACAGCTGCACGTATTAACATTATTTTCCATGGTATTAGTCACGGGGTCAAGCACCGAAACTGGCTGCTGACAGCGACTTTTTATAGTATATAAACGGTCCGGAAGCCCGCTGTACCACAGTAGGAGATTTTATACGAGATCGAGAACTAAGAATACGTTGGGACCCACGAACGCATCGTTAGACAAGAAGTTCGTATTTATCATCCAGTTTCTTCGTGTCCTGATAGGCCTTAAGATTTCCTTAGCAAGAATGAATTATTACACTCCTCAGGAAATGTCATCCACCAAGAAACAGCGTAGCGTGTAAGTACTACGAAGTTATCGTATATTTTCCTTTACCATTTTCCACATTTAATTGTATTTTTCAAACAGTTTTAAGAATCGCCGTTACACACCGTATGTTTATCGAAGCAGTTATACGCCATCCGTTCCTCAAGATGAAACTGTATCGTGCAAGAAACAGTGTGGTGACGTGTGAGTACCATAAAGCTACTGCATATTTGCACACATTTTTTTACACGTATAATTGTATTTATTTCACTTTATATATTCTTTCAGTTCTAACGATGAACCGCATAACCCGCCGCGTATCATGTGCAGGAGGTTACATCTACATCGTTCAAATACATAGATATTGGGATCAGAGTAGTACCTCGTGCATCCTACGTAGAAATAATTCTCGGCGATAATCAAGGACATCAGATCGAGTTAGATCAATCAATTTGGAAAGAATACAGAAATAATCAATCAAAAATAGACCAGCTGCTAAAGGCAACAGATGCGTCATCATCGTCAGCGATACAGCTTAATCATTTAGCTATAGAACTAGTTAGAACGCGCCACGGAAATATTGTAAAAGTAACATCAAATAATACTTCTATGTACATGAAACCATCAACCATATCATTTTTATTTGAACTGGAACACTGTGTAGACCGCATATATTTTCAACTGTATGAAGATCTAGAAACTGTACATGAAAGCTTCGAAGAACTCGTTGTGCATGTACAAGATATGTGAATGAGTGGCGAAAAAAATGCGATACACCGAACGATGCAGTTAGAATCCTACACAAGTACTATAAAAATTCAACCGAAAATTGTGAATTTATTTCGATCGTAAAGTGCGAATTAATGGCTTATGTCGTAAAAGAAATTCTTGCCGAAGCCCATAGTCGGGGTGATTTATTTTGATATGTAACGAACGCTCCTTCTCCTCCCGGTACTGTATTCCGGACGGGACTCCGGAATATTTTATGACTCCGCGGAACTTAACCAGACTCGCGGTTCTAAATTATCGGTGGAGGAGTCAGAGTTCTTTCGGTCGGTGTTTGACGTGCTGTGTGTCGGTTTAATTAAATCCTCCGTTCCTCCTATTTGCCGAATATGCTCAGCTCCAGGGCCGTCAGGAGGAAAGGGGGACAAGATCTTACTTTGCTTAGTGAGGTAATCGCTTGGAGGGATCGGAAATAAATCGGACAGGTGTGTTACGGTAAAAACAATAGAACGAGGTTTGTTTGTGGATAAGATACATGGGATCGAGGAAATTACAATGAGTCCGCCCTGTGATTAATTACAATGGAAAAGGAAAAGATTAGTATTACAATAGGTCCGCCCTGTGATTAAATACAAGAAAAACAGGATATGATTAGACGGATGATCACAATGTACAGGAAGTACGTATCGAGTCGGAAAACAGGAATACAACGCTATTTGAATTCGGTACAAGAGGTACGTACTGGATCGGAATGCGGAGTACAGAAATAATACGGCCGGTCGGATTAATCAGGAGTAACAAAACGCCGTTCGGATTTAAGAATACCGGAATCCGATTAGAATTATACGGAGTTGTAATAAAGGTGTACAGGATATACACAACAATCTGGATTTTACAATACGGCACGGAAAGGACGGTATTAGATCGGAATACGGAAAATAATGCGCAACTGGAAACGGATAATATATACAGGGTGAGTCTTTCCATATCCGACAAAATTTTTGAGAAGGTAGAACGGATCGAGATGAACGGAAAAGTCCTGTACCATTTTACAATTTTCGTAATAGTTAACGAATAATTAATTATTAAAAATCGTTGTCTTAGGCCGGCCTATCGCCCAATTCGAGCGCGTGGCGAGATGTGCGCATAGCAATATCGATCGCCGGGCGGTCACATCTTGCCACGCGCTCGAATTGGGCGGTAGGCCGGCCTAAGACAACGAATTTTAATAATTAATTACTCGTTAATTATTACGAAAATTGCAAAATGGTACAGGACTTTTCCGTTTATCTCGATCCGTTCTACTTTCTCAAAAATTTTGTCGGATATGGAAAGACTCACCCTGTATATGATTATTAATGCTACGGATAAAATACGGTATATAACGGATACGGAAAGTTTACTGGCGGCAAAACAGGAAGGATGTCAGAATGGACTCCTCTGGTGGTTTTCTATAAGGAAGAAATGTAACGGAATTAATTCTACGGACTTAACTAGAATTAATTAGCAATTTTCTCCCACCCGAATATTCCCCCCTGAGTTCTACACCGGTCAGGAATCAGGAAAAAGGATCAGGTCAGGTCAGGAACACGCCCGAGCAGCGCCTCGTTATGCGTGAATGTCAGTAGTGGTTTACACCGAGGAGCACCCCGTTAGGTGTACACTACTGCGGAACTACTCCGTCCCCGCGAGACACGGCGGTACCCGTCATCACGGGGGGAACGGAGCCAGGACGGATACAGGAGACCGGTACGGGGAAATTTGTAGCATATGTACGCCGAGGAGCACCCCGTTAGGCGTACGCTACTGAGGGACGGGGCCCACAACGGGGTAGAGCCTCCGCTGTGTGCTCCGGTATGGTATATAGCCGAAGACAGGAGCACCCATTCACTCCGGCTTATACCTGCAGCGGAGGTACCCACTGCCCGGTGTCGACGGTCGGAGCACCAAGCGTCGACCA